AGATGAACACACAAAACTTTGTTGTAAAAACGTAAATAAATTGGAGTTTTAATTTTTTCAACGCTTACTGAGATATTATTTGCTATATTAATTATTAATTACTATGCTAATAGAAGTAATTACCAATAGCACAATAACCCTACCATCAATTTAGCAAATCCTACTTTCTCTAACCATATTTGAAGATCTTTTTTCTTTTTATGTGCCATGTCCTTTCAGGACGTAGGCGATCATGGCTCTCCACCTCCCTTACAGCTCTCAACAAGTTCCTTCCCTCTGCTTCCTCCCCCAGACTACGTTCTGTCATTCACTTGCCAGGTATGTCATGCGTTGTTTTCCCTTGACTCTTTTCCCTCTATTCGATCCGTGAGTATAAAATTCTCCAGGCCCTCCTTCATTATGTATCCCAGAAACTTCAGTTTCCTCTTCCTGATGTGATGCATAAGCCTCCTCCTTGTTTGCAACGTCTCTAAGACCTCATCGTTGCTTACACTCTCGGTCCATGATATCCTTAGCATCCTTCTGTAGAACCACATCTCTGTCACATCGAGTCTCTTCTTCATCTTTGAGGAAATCATCCAACATTCGCTGCCATAAAGAAGGATAGATGTCACGTAACAGCTTAGTATTCTTTTCTTTGTTACCAAAGAAATCCTCCTGTCTCGCAATACTCTGCCTAGCTTTTGGAATGCGTCTTTGGCCAACCCAATACGCCTACGGATCTCAGTGTCGCACTTACCGTACTCTATCAAAGACGCTTCCCAGATATTTAAACTTCCGCGTCTGCTTGATTCTAGTGTTACCGACCTTTAAATCGCATTTTGGGCTCATCCTCTTACAGTGTTTATAACTGCAAGAATTTTTCTTTTTTCTTGCTCTGTACTCTGAAATATGCAAAAAAAAAAAAAAAAAAAATAGAAAGAAAAGGTTTCTGGAGAACAATTAGCTACAGTCAAGATAGAAATTTCTAGATCTACTTGATGAATTTTTGCTTTGCTTTCTTAAATAATTCTTTTTAATAAAAGAAATCCTATTCAGTTATAAAAAATATAATTAATTTTGCTGAATTGAAAATATTTCAAACTAATGCAAATGCATTTATAGTGGAAATTTACTAGAAATAATCATGCATATATTTTCCACATTATTTTTCTGGTAATCAAACTGTCACTCAGAAAATCGTCCTTTTTATTTTATTTTAGTTGCATGGTAAGTTATGAAAAACGGATAATACTGACAGTAAAAAGCAGGTCTGTTTATTTCTACTGAGTGGTGACAGCTGAACTTTAAAAGAAAATTCATCAGTTTTTGTAACAATCAAATGAATAAATTAATTTCAAAATACGTTAATAGAAACACTTGTTTTCTTTATCCTTTCAGCGTATAAACATTTTTCTGTTAGAAACATGTACAAGTTCAGTGAAGGTTTTATTTGTAAAAAAAAATTGATGCAGATTTCTTTCTCAATACAAACGTTAACTTTTCTTGAATTAACAGATTGCGACAGCTATTAGGGAGATGTGATTACTTTAATTACTCAACATTATTCGAACTGTTAACGAACCTCATCTTCATTGCCATATTCATAATGTTTCGGCTGTTGTACACTCCAGCCTTCTTCGGGTGATTGTAATTTCGAACTAAACCCTTTATTTCGTCCACCAGGGTAGATTGTTCTAGTTCCACGTGTCATGCCTCGTCTGGATGTTTCAGTTATTTCCCTTTAACTCAACTTTCCAAGTTTTGGTTCACCTCTACTGTGGCCTGGTATTGAACTTACAACTCTTTGGGTCTAGTCACTGGATCTAACCAACATCTTTATCGGCTGCTATTAGGGAGATGTGATTACTTTAATTACTCAACATTATTCGAACTGTTAACCTCATCTTCATTGCCATATTCATAATGTTTCGGCTGTTGTACACTCCAGCCTTCTTCGGGTGATTGTAATTTCGAACTAAACCCTTTATTTCGTCCACCAGGGTAGATTGTTCTAGTTCCACGTGTCATGCCTCGTCTGGATGTTTCAGTTATTTCCCTTTAACTCAACTCTCCAAGTTTTGGTTCACCTCTACTGTGGCCTGGTATTGAACTTACAACTCTTTGGGTCTAGTCACTGGATCTAACCAACATCTTTATCGGCTGGATACATCAAGGCAAAACGTTGTGAATATGGCAATGAAAATGAGGATAACAGTTTGAATAATGTAAATAATGTAAGTAATTATAATACCTCATCTCAGAGATATAGACAGATATACTTTAATCTTTAAAAAAATTTATTCAGTATTATTATTGTTTAATAAGCATTAACATAGCACAAGTAGCTATATTGTGGAAAATGGAATTTTCGACAATATACGCATTTTTTTTACGTATTTGTGTTTATTTTCTAATTTTTATCAAAAATGACATTCTTGTACATGTAGTTATGGATAATATTACATTAATTACTAATTTTTTAATTAAATAACTATTTGTGCTCATTTGTTGACATGAAGCTGCTATATCTGCTGATGTGTTAAAATTTTAGAGAATAATGCAATATTTAAATAAATTTCATCTTTCTGATAGATGTCACGGTCTGTTTATTCTTTTGTTGCCAGTTTTCGAGAGAAAATTTAAAAAAATCTTTTATTTTATAGATCGCGACAGCTATGTGATTAAATATACTTTAAACAAAAATATTTATTCATCATTATTATTGTTTAGGTAATAAGTATTATAACATAGCATAAATAGCTATATTGTAGGAAAAGAAATTTTCGACAACATACGCATTTTTTATGTATTTAATTTTTATGGTTATTTTTTAAACTTTTATCAAAAACGACATTCTTTCTTTTACATGTAGTTATGGATAATACATTAATTGCTGCTAATTTT